GATGTTCATTAGGGATATTGGTCTGTAGTTCTCAATTCTTGTGGGATCCTTGCCTGGTTTTGGTATCAGAGTTATACTAGCTTCATAGAAGGAGTTCGTGTCCCACCTATCTTATCTATATAGACATGCAGAGACAATAATTAGCACAAAAACAAGACAAAGCAAATCAAAGCAACAAAAGAAAACAAAACAACAATGACAAAAAAAAGAAGAGCCTATAAATAGTTCCAGGTCTGTTTGTTGACCTTTAGGAGTGTTTTCCAGTCGAGTCTGATGGGGTGCCACACCCTGGCCCCACAGTCTGTTTTTGGTATTCCCCAGGGACTTCATTGCTCTGTTCCCCTTGCTGTTCTCTTGCATGCCCTTAGTGTTTCACCTCGGAGTGGTGGGGTCAGATTGGACACAATTCCCACATTATGCCTCCAGTGTTGCTCCTCGAAGTGCTATTGGTCAGTGAGGGACATCGTGTCTCATGGTGGGGCCAGCCCTATGGTCCTCTCTGTGCATTGGCTGCTCTGAGCAGGAATATCATCCTCAGGGCTTAGTGGCCCACTCTCCCCTTCTCTCTTCATTTGCTCCTGTGTGCTCTGATCAGATGTGTCCCTCTCCCTGAGCTGTGGCTTCAGTGCTGTCCTCTGTAGTGAATTCTTCTGGAAGAGGATGGGGTGGTATCCACATAGTTGGGATTGGGGCCGGCCCCTCAAACAGCCTTCTTCTTTTTCACAGACCTACTACTTGCGTGATGTTTTTGTCTGAAGACATGAGGCAGTGTCTGTTCTCAGAGGGTTCTGGCTGTTCTTTACCAATATAGATTTGTTTGTTCTTCTGGCAGCCCATGGTATAGTTAATACTCTTCGATCACTACAAACATTAGTCTCTTGACTTTCGGGCCTACTCTTTCCACACATCTCTCTACTTCAGTGATGAATTTCTTTTCTCACTAAGTTATCCTGGGTTTCCTTTGTGGGTGTTTTATAATCAAGTTAAAAACTGATGTGCATGAATAAAATCGACACTAGTTTTCATTCAGTTGATTTCGACTCACAGCAACCCCATGTGGACCCCAGTGGAATCGTTCTCCCCACCGACAAAACATACAACTTTCCTCTAATCCTTTAATGCTCCCCACCCCACCCCACCCCGCCCCAACTATCATGACCCGAGTCCTACTTTACAAATCTGGCTAGATCAGAGCATGTACACTAGTACAGATAAGAGCTTGAAACACAGGGAATCCAGGACAGATGACTCCCTTGGGACCAATAATGAGAGTAGCGATACCAGGAGGGGAAGGGGAAGGTGGGGGAAGAAAGGGGGAACCAATCACAATGACCTACCTATAACCTCCTCCCAGGGGGATGGACAACAGAAAAGTGGGTGAAGGGAGACAGCAGTCAGTGTAAGACAAGGAAAAAAATATATAAATTATCAAAGATTCATGAGAGAGAGTGGGTGCAGGAGGGGGAAAATGAGCTGATACCAAGGGCTCAAATAGAAAGAAAATGTTTTGAGAATTATAATGGCAACAAATGTACAAATGTGCTTGACACAATGGATGGATGTATGGATGTAATAAGAGTCATATGAGGCCCCAGTAAAATGCATTTTTTTAAAAAAAAATCATGCTCCTAACCCATTTCAGTTCCCTCCTTTCTCAAGAGCAGCTCACCAGCCTTTTCTTCCCAGGCTTCACCCTCCCATCTTTGCATGAACAGTTGAGCATGTAAACCATTTTCAGACTATTCAAAAGCATTTAAAGCCACCAGTGGACTTCACGTGCATAAACGGAGGCCACTCTGTTTGACAGAATGCCTGTGCTTTCCTCATGTGCAAAGGCAAGCCGATGAGTGCAATGCTGTAGTGCCTGCGAGTCCCCAGACCAGCCCTTGGTCGGCCCTCCAGAGCAGCCCAGTGGTACAGGGGAAACTTGTCCCCAGAGAACAGCCATCCAGGGCTAATTTCCTATGGCTTCATGGCAGCAACGGAGATCTGCTTCCATGAACAGCTAAATGCAGATTCAGAACAGCTTCATATTTGATTTGAGTGCTGTGGGGTGAGTGTGTGTGTGTGCTGAGGAAAGGGGGGGGCACTGGAGGGAGGGAGCACTTGGGAGCTAACCCCAAAATAAATGAATGTGGCTTGTGCATAGGACTCATGGTCAAAATAAGCACCAGCAAAGAATTGCCAAGTCCAAACAGCCCGAGATCACCAGGCTCAAGCTCTGGTCTTATAGACACCACTGCAGATTTCCTAAATTTGCCCTCCAACGGCCAGGACTGAGATCACTTTACCCAAAACTCACTGCCACCGAGTCAATTCTGACTCATGACTCTCCTGAAGGACAGAGTAGAACTGCCTTTGTGGGTTTCCAAAACTGTAACTCTTCACAGGAGTAGAAAGCCTCACCTTTCTCCCAAAGAACAGGTGGCGGTTTTGAACTGCCGACCTTCCGGTTAGCAGCCTGTTGTGTCACCCACTATACCACCAAGGCACCAACAGCCCAGGTGGCCCTGTTGGGTGAGCATTGGACTGCTAGTCACCAAGCCGGAGGTTCACAGCTGCTTCACCGTACAGTATTGAGACTGCCTGCGCCTATTGCACACTCAGAAGCCCTCCATAGACTGCTGCCAGTGAGAATGTACTTAACAGCAGTGGATTTCATACATTTGAAAGGGAGACAATGCTAGTATAAGCACATACACTTGTTTCAAGTCTAGCAATCGAGTGTGTGTGTGTGGGGGGTGTTCCTTTCTCTCTTTTTAAATGGCATTTTAGCTGTAACGCATTCTCATCGGACTTTTACCAAAGTCTCCTTTCACACCAGGTGGGAAGAAGTGTGTCTTTGGTACATTTTGAGGAGTTGCAGTCGCCAGCCACAGGAAGTGGAAAGCAGGAGCCCCTGCCATCTAGGGAGAGGCCCCCAGCCTCCACCCAAACTCTTTCATCCCCACCCTACAGGGGTCGGACTGACGCCTGCCCTTTCAGAGCTATCCACCTCCATATCAAACCTAAAACCCTGATGGCTCACAAGGCTGTCGACCAAAAGGTTGGTGGTTTGAATCCTCCCCATGGTGCCTGCAGAGGAAAGACGTGGTGATTCATTCCATGAGAGATCATCACCATTAAAAAGCATTTTCAGCCAACAATATAAGTTGATGGCAGGTTATTGATTTGCAAATTGAGGTAACATTTTTATTAGATTGTCAGAAGTGTCCCAAGGATGAGAAGAAGAGAATTGAGGTGTGGGTGGTCAGGAAGGATTTTCAAACAGCATTGCCCCGAAGAACAACTGAAATCATTACCGATCTACCCAAAGCATAACACCCACTCTGAATTTTAGAGTCTGATTCCCCAAACTGATGGAATTCTTAGAAACAGAAGAGGCAGAACTTCCCTAATCCGCAGGTTGCCTTTTTTAATCATTTTATTAGGGGCTCGCACGACTCTTATCACAATCCATCCATCCATCCTTCGCGCCAGGCACATTTGCTCATTTGCTGCCATCCTCATTCTCAAAGCATCCGCTCTCTACTTGAGTCCCTGGGTTCCTGTTTCTTGAGGCTGACTCTGGCGGGGATCATTCTTAAATGGATCTGCAGGCTAAGGGCACAGACCCCAACTGAGAGGCTTCCTAAGCTACTGTTTGACCAAAAGGTGACTGACTCCAAGGAACTCGTTTGTTTGTTTCCCAAGAGTCACCAGGACACCTGAGGGCAGTGGCCTGTGTGGGTTACCCCCACCTCCAGGAAATTTTGATTCCAGGAGAACTTAAACTTTTTGGACACAGCCAAGGAACCTGTATGGAATAGAGCTACTTTGTCACAAGGGGTCGCTATGAGTCCAAAGTCCACCTGAGGACACCTGACCACGGCAGGAATAATCCACTGCCATGTCTGACTCCTGGTAGCTCTATAGATAGGGTGTCTGTGGCTATAAATCTTCATGGGATCATGTCGTCTCGCCTTTCTCCCTCAGAGCATCTAGTGGCTTTGAACTGCCAACCTTTTCGTGAGCGGTCTCACACTCAGCCGACAGTGCCACCAGGGTCCCTGCATTTGAGGCGTGGGCATGGTCCTGACTAAAGTGTGGTCACAAAGCTGAAGTCTTTTCGAGTTGCTTACCTTCCCCCCTGGTTTTGTCACAGATGTAAAGGTGCCTCCCACTACGGCCTCACCAAAGACAGGAAGAGGCGCTCCCAAGAAGGTGGTCTCGACGGCTGTGCCAGTCTCACGGCCGCGACCCTCTCCTCAGAGATCTCTGCGGCTGCCACCATCTCCTTAATGACGGACGAGCCCGGCCTGGACAACCCTGCCTACGTGTCCACGGCAGAGGACGGCCAGCCAGCCAACAGCCCACTGGATCCTGGCCGGAGCAACCAAACCAGAAGTGAGTCAGCTGGGTGGGGGTCCGGGAAGGAGCTCCTGCCTGGGGATCGCCCTCCGTAGAACATTCACTGGCAAGTTCTAGACGTGGTTTTTGAAGGGGAAATAATTTTGCTATCCTTGGCAGCATCCCAATGTCCAATCCTCCAAAGTGAAATAAAATCGGGAGTACCTCGGATGATTAAAACGGTGTGTAATCTGACTTGGTGAAAGGGGTTGAAACTAGACCTAATGATTCATCACTCCTGCAGTGTCAGGTCCTTCTGATCCAGGCTGCGCAAGAAAAGTGCTGTTATATTCAGTCCAGTCCACAAGAGACAGAGAGAGAGATTTTTAAACACATTATATATATATATATATACACACACACACACACTGTTGTAAAAGATTTAGAAAATACACAAGCAAATCCATCATCCTTCTATCTAGAGATAACCATTTAAAGTTTTGTTGTGAAATATCTGTCTTAGAGCACACATTCCCAAATTTATCTGGCCTACTATCCCCTTTACAGGAAAATAAGTGAATAACTCAGCACCCCTGTGGCAATTAAGAACATTTGTACTGTAGCCCCAAATCCAGGATTTCATGCAGCTATCTTTTTCTGCAGCACCTTTGGATCATTCCAGCACCCCCTCTTCCAGGGGGGCAATATCACTCACATTGGGAAACACTGTCTTAGAGTCTGGGTCACTCACTCACTCACTCACTGCCACCGATTCTGACTCATAGCAACCCTATAGGACAGAGTAGAATTGCCCCTGTGGGTTTTTCAGACTGTAAGTCTTGACTGAAGCAAGAAAGCCTTGTCTTTCTCCCACAGAGTGGCTGGTGGTTTCAGACTTCAAACCTAGGGATTAGTTAGTAGCCCAACTCATAAATACTACACTACCAGGGCTCCTGCGTCTCTGGGTAGTGCCAACAATCAACTGAAAAGATGGCGGTTACAACACACCCAGGGAGCCATGGAAGAAAGGCCTGGCTGTCTGCTCAGCAAGAGTGTACCCATGAAAACCACTGAGAGGCAACACTGCCATGAACCCGGGGTGGCTATGAGTTAGAATCTACTCTACGGCACCTCGTGAGTGCTGTTCTGATTTTGATCACATGTGTGTGTCCAAGATGACATCCATTAATGCAGGACCATTGTGCCTCTCTTCTTCCCCTCCCCTACCCCCCCCCCACCCGCTCCAGCAGGGCCCTTTGAGCGGTCTACTATCAGAAGCAGATCTTTCAAGAAAATAAATCGAGCCTTGAGTGTCCTTCGGAGGACAAAGAGCGGAAGTGCAGTTGCCAACCAAGCTGAGCTGGGTGGGGAAAATACCCCTGCCCCCGAAGGTAGGTGAGCTCACCTGCAGTGTCTGGGCTGCCACGTGGGCCTCAGAGGTGAGGACAGCCTCACTACCACTTCACTTTCCATGACACCTGGCTTTTCAAGGATACGAAATATTTTTGAACTTGGCCGCCACACTCTTACATAAGTAGCTAGAGGTAGAGATGATCCTTCTCTGTTTTCCATGGATTGAAGGAGAAGGGAATCAGAACCCTTAGCTCTAGAAGCTGACTTAAGACATGGACCAACCAAATGCACTGCCATCCAGTCAATGCTAACTAACTCATAGCAACCTCCTGTGGGTTTCCAGGACTAACTGCTTAAGGGAGTAGAAAGCCCACTTTTTCTCTGGAGCTGCTGCAGGTGGTGGCTTTGAACTGCTGACCATACGGATCACAGCACAATGTGTAACCACTACCCTATAAAGAATAATAAACAAACCACCACCGTGGAGTCTGCTCTGTCACTCAGCAACCCCATAGGGCAGAGTAGCACTACCCCACAGAGTTTCCAAAGCTGTTATCTTTACAACAGCAGATGGCCACACCTTTCTCCTGCAGAGCAACTGGTAGGTCAAGACCACTGGGCTTTTGATGAGCAATTGATAAGCAGCCAAATGCTTTTGCCAAGGTGGCACCAGAATACTTATAGCCAAGCCAAACTCACTGCCACTGAGTCGATTCTAACTCATGTTGTTGTATTGCTAGGTGCCATCGAGTTGGTTCTGACCCGTAGTGACCCTGTGCATAACAGAATGGAACACTGCACAGTCCTGCACCATCCTAACAGTTGTTCCTATGCCTGAGCTCATGGATGCAGCCACCGTGTCAATCCCTGTAGGACAGAGTAGAACTAACCCTGTGGGTTCCTGAGCTTGCAACTCTTACGGGAATAGAAAACCTCATCTTTATCCTGCAGGGCAGCTGGTGATTTCAAACTGTTGACCATGTACTTAGTAGCCCAGAACGTCACTACTATGCAACCAGGGTTCTTAGAAAAACCTGTTTTTGCTCTAAGTCCTTCCTTAGATTGCTTGAGGCCCACTCACATTATTAATAAAACCCAAACCAAACTCATTGCCATCGAGTTGATGCTGACTCATAGCAACCCTACAGGGCAGGGCAGAACTTCCCTGTAGACTGTCACTCTTTACGGGAGCAGAAAACTCTTCCTCCTGAGGAGTGGTTGGTGGTTTTGAACTGCCAACATTGTAGTTAGCAACCCAATGCATAACCACTACACCAACAGGCTCCTCTATATTATTGCTAGTCACATCCTTTAGTTAAAGTCAGCTGGTTATAAATGTAAAAGGATCCCTGGACTTCAAGCCTCTGCTCATATCCCCCTCCCTCGATACAAGAACACTTTTTTCTAACAATCTGGCATTCTGCAATGGTCAACCTCCCAACACAATCACTGAAGACAAAAACAGGTGCATAAGCAAATGTGGTGAAGAAGGTGGATGGTACCCGGCTATAAAAAGATATAGTGTCTGGGGTCTTAAAGGCTTGAACTTAAACAATCAGCCATTCAGCAGAGAAGCAGCACCACATGGAAGAAGCACACTGCCGGTGCAATCATGAGGGATAATAGGGACTGGGTAATAGGCATCAGAAGACACATAACAAACAAAAACATATTGTTGAGAATGAAGGGGGGGGGGCAGAGCAGAGACCCAAAGCCCATCTGTAGACAATGGATCAATCTCCCCACAGAGGGGCCACAGGGATGGGATGAGTCAACCAGGGTGCAGTAAAGCATTGATGAAATACACTGTATTCCTCCGGTTCCTTGAGGCTTCCTCACCCCCCACTATCATAACCCCAGTGCAGCTTCCCAATTCAGACTTGACCAGAGCATGTACACAGGTATCGATACGAGATGGGGGTTCAGGACATACGGACTCTAGGAACAGGAGTGGGAATAGTGATACCAGACGGGTAGGGAGAAGGGGGAAACAGGAACAGAGAAAGGGTGACCTGATCTCAACGATTGACACAAAACCATACACCCCTCTCAGGGAAGTACAACAGGGGAAGAAAGACAGCAGTTGGTGTAAGATATGAAAATAATTATAATTAATAACCTTTCAAGGGGGTATACGGGTGGGAGGGGAAAAAAAAGAGGAGCTGATACCAAGGGCTCAAAAGAAAGTAAATGTCTAGAAAAGAATAAAGGCAACATATGTACAAATATGCCTGATGCAGTGAACCTATGGATTGTAACAAGAGTTGTCAGAGTTGCGATAAAATTATCTTTTAATAAAATTTTTAAAAGGGGCCCCGAAGGCGCAGTGGATTACAAGGTGGGCTACTAACCACACGCTCAGCAGCTGCTCTGAGGGAGACAGATGAGACTTTCTACTCCCCCAAAGACAGAGAGTCTACCAAAGCCTTGGTCTCCCATACACTCGCTGCACATCGGAATATGGACTTGGTGGCAGCAAGGGGATGTTATTGTTGTTACCAATGTCAATCACATCCACCAAATACCTTCCAGGCACATTTAGACTGGTGTTTGGCACAACCATTGGGCTCAATAGCCTAGCCAAGTTGACACCCAAAATTAACCATCACAGGGCACACTCAAGACTGAAAGACAAGAACACACAATGGTAAAAATACTACCGCCAAGTCATTTCCCGGTTTCTGGGGCTGTAAATGTTTATGGGAGCAGAGAGCTTCAGCTTGCTCAGGAGTAGTTGGTAGATTCGAACTGCTGACCTTGTAGTTAGGAGCCTAATGAGTAACCCACTATGCCACCAGGGCTCCTATACCATGGGTGGTATAGTATTAATAAGCGACAACCACAGCTGTAGAGAAGGGAACATGTCTTCCAGGGAGGGGCAGTGTAATGCATATTCAAGGAACAGGATTTATGATCTAGATGAGCACTGGAATGTTGCGTGTGCTCAGCGAAGCGGTGGGAGCATGAGTTAAGGACTGGGGTGCCATGCGCAGTCTGGGCTTGATTTAGGGACAGCCTGAAAGCTTTGAGTAGAGCTATGAAAAGATTAGAGCCATGTTTCAAAAAGATAAAGACGGTGGCCCTGCTATGTGTGCAGGATTGAGGTGGGGGAGAGGCCAAGAAATGATTGCTGTGGAATGGAGTGAGGTAGGATAAGGCTCTCAGGTTTTTGAGGCAACAAAGTTTCCAAACTGAGAAGGGTGTTGCCTCAAAACCTGCAGTTAGTCCTGGGAACGCTCTCAGCATGGTTTGGCCATCCTTTCTGTGCCTGTCCTGGCTCCACTGTTTATCGGCTGCGTGGCCTTAGTTAGGTTTCTCACCTCCCTGAGCTTCAGCATTTCCTCAACTTAAAAGTTAAAAAAAAATTTTAATGGGGGATAGTAATCTATTTCAAAAGGTTATAATGAGAATTAGACAAACCAATAAAAGACTACACAAATTGCCTAGCGTAGTGCCGACCACTGCCATCGAGTCGATCCTATCTCACAGCGACCCTGTAGGACAGAGGAGAACTGCCCCTGTGGGTTTTCTGAGATGTCAAGGCCTTACAGGAGTAGAAAGCCCACTATACCATCAAGCCTACTACATACAAACGCGTAATCAGTGGCAATTATATCCTTTAGAATTTCCATGAGACCCCACGAGTGAACAAATTCCTTTCCTCCAAGACCAACACGAGCTGACAGTTTAAAAATCACTGTAATTCTCAAGGTCACTAGGGTCTCACTGGTGTGGTTCTAATTACCCGCAGCCACAAAGGCGACCGGGAACGGCCGTTGGGGCTATCAACTCCACGTCTCTGAGTGGCTGAGAGATGCAAGATGGGAGTACGGTCTTTAAAACTGTTGGAGGGAGGGTGGAAGAGGAGGAAGAGAGGGGAAATCAGCCGCTTCCGATGATTATTTCCAAGGCTTTCTTTGCTAAAAGTTGATTTTTTAGAAAGTTCATTTCATTCCCTTTTACCAGACACGTGCCAAAAAATACTTGTGATGTTGCCTACTTCACGTAATCAAGGTAGTTTAAACATTCGTTGAACTCAATTCACCCGAGTGCTGTTAGCACTGGGAATGCGCAGGCTAAGACCGCTGCCACAGCCTCATAGCTCATGCGGTTGCTTAACCCCAATCTCGGCTTCCTCTGGCCGAGAAATGCCTGTTGGCCCTGTTTTAGTGACTAGATGCTCACGTCAACTCTTTTCCGCTTTGTTCCTGGAGAGTTCTGTCTTCCCCCAGTGGGGTTGAAAAAGAAAAGGTGGACATAAGGTTAGGGTTTTCAAACTAGTCACACAGAGTGGATTTTGCATGACCAGGCCTGCATTTTGATCTTTCCACAGATGACTGACTGCAGGGAGAATCTTGGGGCAAAGGCAGTTGTCAGCAGCAACAGAGACAACTTCGCCCCCCAAGAGTCTAAGCTCGGAGGCTCAAGCTGCTCAGAAGAGTCCCCTCTTCCCTGAGCCGAGTGTGGCTTGATCCCAGCACTTGCTGGTGCCCCTTCTGAATACATACACTCAAACTGACGTGGACAAACAGTGCCAGTCAGTGCCCCTGGCTGATGTTTCTCTGGCAAGTCCCTTGTCTAGCTGTGACTCCCCGGGGACAGGAGGGAGGCAGGGGATGCTCTTCGGGACCCTTGTGTTCTCGCTGAGCTCTGAACCACTGTCAGTCAATGACTCCCTTTCCTTCTCTGACCTTACCTGTCCTCTCTTGTCCAGTATCACACTGTCCCTGGCTTTCACACCATTTCAACAGCACTATACCTAGGGCATCTGCTAGGTATAGTCACAAGGAACAGGATGGTGAAGATTGCATAAAGCAAAAGGATTCCTCAGACTCAGAAGCCCCGGCCCAGGTGATCTCTCAGAGTCCCTGGGGAGCGCAAACCAACACTGAACTCAGCAACGACCTGAAGATTGGAGCGTGTGTCCCCAGCAGTGCCTCCAAAGAGAGGCTTCTGGGAACCCTAAGGAGCCCAGCCCTAGTCGGGCCTGCAGGAGGTGGCCAGGAGTTGGAATGGACTCCAGGGTAGCTGGATACATGGTCCCTCCCTCTCCTTTGATCTCTGTGATCAGTGGATAGAATTCTTTACGTAACCAACCAGGCCTTGGCTGGGGCTTCTTGACTGTGAACATTCCCTTCAGTAAACAAATGTTCGATGGGGTGGCCTGAGGAGTCCCTGAGCCGAGATAGCAGGCTCTTCGGGGAATAAATGTCTAGACACACCAAGGAGAAGAGCTGTCTTGTTATGTTCTGTCCCTTCGTAGACACATGATGGGGCGACACCTCATTCCATCACAACAGCGACTTCATTCAGTCCCTCCTCTCTGCCCAGTAAACATCAGCCGGAGGCTCCTGAACAGAGATCTGTGCAAAGGACAGCCAGAATGTCCTCTCTAAGATGTGCAGAGCCTAAAAGGGGGTGTGTTGACAGGAAAGTCAAATCCCTGGAGAAGGACATCAGACCTGGGAAGGTAGAGGGGCAGCTTCAAAGAGACAGGCCCTCAGAGAGATGGACTGCCCCCGTGGCTTCGGCAACAGGCTCCGGCATGGGAATGCTGCTGAGGATGGCACAGGATCAGTTGGCGTGTCGCTCTGTTGAGCGTAGGGTTGCATGCTATGGGTCAGAATCGACTCTGCGGTCTCTCACAACCACACCAGCGAGTGGGGGAGCGTAGGAAAGGGACACACATCCTAAGAGGTTGAGCAATGGAGGGACAGCTTCCCAGGAAGTGAAGTGTGTACAGGGAGCAAGGGGGGAGATGACCGGGCTAGAGTTTAATGAGAAGGGATGCTTCCGTGCAGGCCTGGACAGCCACACGGGGTTGAAGCCGAGGACCAGAGGCAGTGCGAGCAGAAAAGCACACACTGGCCCGAGGCTGGGATGTGGAGACCGCGGAGAAGAGTTTCATTGGCCGCAGCCAGGGTTTGGCAAGGGGAGATGGTGGGAGCTGTGTGTTGGGTGGCTGTCTGAAATAGACTGTCTTTGTCTATTGCAGCCTTTCCCAGGTTGTATCACCTGGTTCCAGATGGTGAGATTACCAGCATCAAGATCAATCGCACGGACCCCAACGAGAGCCTCTCCATTAGGCTCGTGGGAGGCAGCGAAACCCCACTGGTCCACATCATTATCCAGCACATTTATCGCGACGGGGTGATTGCCAGGGATGGCCGGTTACTGCCGGGGGACATCATACTAAAGGTAGAGAGACCACAGCGCTGGAGCTGTGACAAAGGGCTGAACCCCCAGAAACCTTCGGAGCAAATGCCTGTTTGAGGGAGTGAGCGCATGGGTGACAGGGAGTGAAGGCAGGCGGGTCATACTAAAAGCATGTTGCACGTTAATGTAACTGCGTGAGAGTCCTCCTGTCAGTGAGCTAAGCTTTTGTCTCGGTCTTGTTCTTTACTCTCCCCCCACCCCACCATTTCTGCTTCTTTTCCTCCATCACGGTCTTATTTTCTCCTGTCTTTTCTTTCTACACCCCCCACCCCCATCCCAGCTTCTCCATCTCCTCTCCGCTCCTCCTTCCTCCTGTCTACCTTTCGTCACCTTTTAACCAACGATAGCGTAAAATAATAACAAACTGAAGCTGTGTTTCCGCTGTCGCTACGTAATTAAAATTCCTTTTAGAACAAGTTAATGGAACATTTCAGATTGTCTCTAAT